TCCATGATGGTGGACCACAACATCTACGTCTGGGACGTGCGGCGTCCCTTCATCCCCTCCGCCATGTTCGAGGAGCACAAGGACGTCACCACAGGCATCGTGTGGCGTCACCTCCACGATCCCTATTTCCTCCTGTCAGGCTCGAAGGACAGCACCCTCTACCAGCACATCTTCAAGGACGCCAGCCAGCCCATCGACCGGGCCAACCCCGAGGGGCTGTGCTACAGCCTCTACGGAGACCTGGCCTTCGCCGCCAAAGAGAGCCTCATCTCCTCCGACTCCAATCGCAAGCCCTACATCGGGGACCGGCGTCACCCCATCTTCTTCAAGCGCAAGCTGGACCCCACGGAGCAGTTCGAGTACATCTCCTCCTCCAGCGCCCTCAGCGTCTTCGAGACGGACGTGGAGAGCGGCAGCATGGACTGGTTCGTGCACACCGCCAAGCAGTACGCGCTGGCCGGCCGGCCCCTGGCCGAGCTCTGTGACCACAATGCCAAGGTGGCCAAGGGCTTGGACCGTAATCAGGTGAGACCTAGGCTGGAGGCTCTCGGTGCAGACCTAGGCTGGTGCTGAGGTTGAAAGGTGGTGTCAGGATGAGGCCCGCCACCCGAGCTGGATGGCAGCTCTCCATCCGGCTGTGGCTTCTGGCTGTCCCCAGAAGGGGTACCTCCGCCTGGCACCAAACCCATAGCGTTGTTGCCTGCAACAAGCGCAGGTCGTTGCCCAGAAACTTGACCCCCCTGAGAGCCCACCCAGCTCTCTAGATCGGCAGATGATGGGGATTTGTGGACAGGCGCGTGACTGCACAGTTTGTAGCCTGGCGAGGTCTGACCGCCGCTGTCTCTTGCGCAGGTGGCTCAAACGTGGACGATGCTGCGAATTATCTATTCCAGCCTTGGCACCGTGTCGTCCGCCAACCTCAACCACAGCATGGGGAAAGGCAGCACCGCCCTCCCGCTCATGAACAGGTAAGGGGTACTGGAGCTGCAGCGAACGACGGCTGGGGCGGCTCTGTGAGCGGGAGAGCGGAGACAGCTCCTCGGCTGGGCTGGAGTCGCAGAGTGGGAGCAGGGGCGGCTCTCCCCCAGCCTCAGGCCGCGCCGGTTTGCAGGTTGGCATCATTTGAACGCAGCCATTTTCCGTGTGGGTGTGAGAAGCGAGCGGCCAGCCTGGCCTTGAGCTGTGCGGCCTTGTACGCTGCTCCCTTCCCTCCTTGAAATGAAGTTTGAAGCTGTAGTGGGGCATGGGGCTGGTACCATCTTTGCAGTTATTTAATTAGTGACTGGGGATGGAGAAGCCCTGTCTCGCCGCTGGAGCCAGAGCTGCTGGTGTGGAGAGGTTGTCTTCTGCCTTTCAAAGGGAGAGGACAGCCCAGCTCTGCCAGCGGCTCGCTGGCGTGGAGAGCCCCATTGTGGGCTGATGAAGCAGGAAAACTTGTTTTTCCTCTTCTCAATGACATATAAAAGTGAGGGGTGAGGACTCCAAACTAGCTGTCAGACCTTGCAGGGCTGGGTTCCCAGGGTGAGTGGCAAATCCTCGAATAACATCAAAGGAAAGGCTCTCCTCGACCAAGCTCTGCATCCAGACGGGTCGCTGTCTGTCGCTGACTTAAACACCGCAGGCAGCAAGCTGAAGAGCTCAGCTCTGCTTCAACCCCATTCCCTTCCTTTTCCGTCTCGGTGAAGCCTGAGAGCGGTGATGCATAACAAACAGCAAAGCACCTTGTAGGGAGGCAGCTCCTGTTTACCTGAGGTGAAGGTAAATGTTAAGAGATGGAGTCGAGAGCCTGCGCTTGGCTCTGAAATCCCTTAGGAAGACCTTTGCGGGCACCTTTGCGGTGCATGCGCAGAGACGCCAGGCTTGGAGAAAGGGCTGTGTTAACAATTGCAATGTATCTTTATTTTTAAGTTACAAAGTGGGGACAGCTGGCTTCTGTGCTCTTGGGGGAATCACCATATCTTGTGCTTCACCGTTCAAATCGCAACTGGAGACCTATATCCAGGCTGTTTGCTGGCTAGAAAGGAAGTTGTAAACTTCTGTGACTACTAAATTTGGCTGCTTTCCCAGCTTTAACCTGAAGGACATCCCCTCTGGGCTGGGCAGCGAGTCGAGACTGGACCGCAGCAAAGGAGAAAGCCGCACGGAAAACATACTCATGGATTCCTCCTCCACCCTGATCAACAACGAAGGTAACGTTTCTGGGGCGGGCACAGTCCCAGTCCTACAGCTCTTCCCCCCCTTAGCTCTAGATGGCCCTGAGATGAGATAACTGGGAAATTTATCCTGTAAATTGGGGTGATTGGACCTGCTGCAGCCCCCAGGTGAAGCACGCCAAGCCCCAGGGCGTTGCAGAAGGACAGTTTACCCCCGTGACCCCACAGTGGTGGCGGTGGGTGCCAGGAACACGACTGCAGTGGGGAGTGGTGCCAGGAACACAACTGCGGTGGGGAGCTGAGCCATCTGGCTCGGACACAGCCTGGCACGCTGGGGCAGGACGCGGGGAAGGTGGATCCAACTGTGTGCCCGAGGGGATGAGCTGATTTCTCTCTCCCTGGGCACGCAGACAACGAGGAGACGGAGGGCAGCGACGTCCCTGCGGACTACCTGCTGGGAGACGTGGAAGCGGATGAGGATGACCTGTACATGATGGACCACGAGAACCCGCACGGTGAGTGCGCGGCTGCTGCTGGGAGGTGTTGCCCGTCCCAGCCACGCGGCTGGACTTTCTCCTGGCCTTCCCTACTCATTCCTGATCAGATATCTCTCCTCGCAGCCGAAGAGCAGGAATACAGCCTTCCCCAAGAAGCCTTCCCCCTGCGCCATGAAATCGTGGACAACCCGTCAGCCTTGGACCACCTGCAAGACAAGGCTGACTCCCCTCACGTCAGCGGCAATGAGGCCGAGACGGTGTCACTGACACCCGTGGAGTCCTTCTCCCTCATCTCCATCTCCCACTCGCTCTACGAGAACCGCCTGCCCTCCGACTTCTTCAATCCCATCGTGCGGGACACGCTCCTCTTCTACGCTGAGCAGGGAGACGTGCAGACGGCCGTGTCCGTCCTCATCGTGCTGGGAGACCGCATCCGCAAGGAGATCGATGAGCAGACCCAGGTAGACCCCGGGAAGCCCCTTCCTGGCTGCGTAGGAACTGAACCCCCCGGTCAGGGCTGGTGCAGCAACCCCACGAGACGCAGTAGGACACCTCGGTGGTGTATCCCAACGCGATGGGATCCTGCCTGGGCTCTGAGAACCTCCCTTCTCCTCCAGCCCCTGCTGGGCCCGCTCTAACCCGGGGTGGGCAGCTCCAGGACCCCTGGTACCTGGCTGGCTGCCCTACCACCAGTCCTGGCAGGGACCTGAGGTGGTGTCTGTGGGGCCAGGGTGGGGAAGTGGCCTTGGCCTGTTGATCTGGGGAAGGAAGCCTCTTCCCCAGCCCCACAGAACAGTTCCTCCAGCTGCAGGGATCTTGCCTTTGGGACGCAGGGCTGGGATCCCGAGGAG